ATAGCAATGGCCTCCAACCTAATAGCGATGCCCTCCAACCTAATAGCGATGGCCTCCAACCTAATAGCGATGGCTTCCAACCTAATAGTGATGGCCTCCAACCTAATAGCAATGGCCTCCAACCTAATAGCAATTGCCTCCAACCTAATAGCAATGGCCTCCAGCCAAATAGCGATGGCCTCCAACCTAATAGCGATGGCCTCCAACCTAATAGCGATGGCCTCCAACCAAATAGCAATGGTCTCCAACCTAATAGTGATGGCCTCCAACCTAATAGCGATGGCCTCCAACCTAATAGCAATGGCCTCCAGCCAAATGGTGATGGCCTCCAACCTAATAGCGATGGCCTCCAACCTAATAGCAATGGCCTCCAGCCAAATGGTGATGGCCTCCAACCTAATAGCGATGGCCTCCAACCTAATAGCGATGGCCTCCAACCTAATAGCGATGGCCTGCAGAGATGGCCTGAACTAGCTGCCTGCCTATCCAGAACAGTCAACTTGCATCACTTGCGCCGACTTACGTGCCTCGGCACACCCGGGCATTCCGGAGTATTCTAGAAACATGTATAGCTCTGAACTGTACCATTGCACACGCCACCTGAAACCAACAATGAAGTACACGCGGACCAGTATCCTGTAACAAGGTTAAAAGCCACTCTGACTTTGAAACGTCTATGTGCATCAAACCCATCTGGGGATGGGTCAAAACCTGAAGCCCTGGTCCACCATGTAGCGAACAACCTCCCAGGTAGGTCAACACAAGTATCCTGGTGCCATGCCCCACAGCCATCTGATTCACTGTTATTGACGTCATGGGCTGCAAGACTCCTGTGCTCTGAGACACCCCCACTGTGTCGTGGTAGAAGGACTGCGCTCATCCTGAGAACATCGTTCTCACTTAGTTGATCGAAATGCAACTCCCAGACCATCCATGTTTATATGGACTAGTGTTAATTATGTTACTTCTATAAACCTACATGGAAGGGTCATTTTGATGGAGAAAATGATGTGTGTGTCCACTGTACATAGTTCCAGTCCCATGGATATGCATGGATGGTCTGTGACGACTGGTTTTGCTCACTTTCGCCTTCACTGATCCGGCCGCCTCCAGCGCGAGGCCGCCCGCGAGGAATTCCACCGACGTGCGCCGGCTCCGGCGTTCCCTGCGAGATCGACCGAGAAGTCCCCGGGAAGTCCGGCTGCATGACGGCGACGATCAAGTTTGAACAACAGAAAAACATGGTTTTGAGGTGTCTGGAAGTCAACACTCACTGGTTTTGAAGTTTGGAAGATGACAGATGAGGTACTTGCATGCGATACAACAAATTGAGTTCTTCCATGAGCTCTGCTCCAGCTCGGCTGGCCTTGGCTCCTCAGTTTCCTCACCCACCTGGCATCCCGGAAACCACCATGGATAGTAGCGCCACATATCAACACGTTCAATATACGCAATCAAGGTAATTACCAATATGGGTCAAAGCTTGTACGACTAGCACGACTACTACGTGAAAGGAATTCCTTTGTTGCCACAGAGAGAGAGAGAGAGATGAAAAAACATCATTGCGCATCGTCAAGGCAAATTTCAGGCAAAAAGAATAGCACGAATAACAAAGGAACTACAATCCTGGATCCTCAAAATAAACTCAGACTATCTTGAGAATTTGGCAGCTTGGATTGGTTCCGAACAAAAGTGCCAGCAAGACGGCACTGGTGTGACCAGTCACTTTCACCTCGGATTGGCAGGAAGGACCTGTCCAAAGACTCCCATCACCTACATGAAGCTGGCAACGAAGGCATATATCATATATCAAATATCATATATCAACATCTCCTGTTGCAGTTTCTGAGAGCCCACAAGCAAAATGATTTCATAAGTTGTATGTTTTGTATGTGCTCTTCTTTCAGGGTGTTGGCAGGGGGTCAAAGTCCACGTATATTCCACTGCAACACCTCGTTGAATGTGAACATACATGATTCATGTGTAAAACCCCACTTCTTGGACATGTACAGTGTAAACGCACGCCATCAATATAGGTTTACTATAGATTGTTCAACATGTGGTAAACCTCCCACTTCTTGTGACAAAAACGTGTGGAACTCGGTGGAACCTCGTTGGCTGAGAACCCCACCTGTCGGTGCCGCTGGAATGACCAGACAGGGAGGGAAGGTGTGTGTGTCTTAAAGTAGAAAAAACATGATAACCCGACCCCCATTCCACCTCCCAAAAAAACAAAACAGTGCATTGGAGACCTCGCTTTTTGGTCATACACACCCGCAGGTGTTGAATCGTCAACTAAAGGCGATTCATTCAGATCCACTAGAGAAGTATAGTGCGACTGATCCGCTCGCTACATCTCCAACGGGCGCCCCAGCCGTGGTAATGGCTCCGGTGGTGGCGATTCCCTCCAAACCGATTTTGCCTTGTTGCACCGTCACGCCCTTCCTGCAGCGTCACGCGCGCTTTTTTGTTGGAGCGTCCCCTGCTCCGAGGAGCTGTGACGAAAGGCGTGAGTTGGATGTGACTCGGCAGAAAAACGTCGTTTTTCCTCATGAGTGGGAAATCTTCACTTGGATTGGTTTGAGGAACTGAACAACACGTTCACCAGAAAAGGGATTCACCTAGAGGGAACATACAAATCACCTATAAGCAAAACCAGGTTGATCTCAATTGATCTTCTTCAATTCATTATCACGCCTGTCACTGCTGAATTGAACGATTCACTCACGACTGGTGGACCGATGTTCCCGGTGGCCAAACAAACGTCCAAAACCCTTGGGTGACTGGTATTTACTGCAACTCAAATGCTTACCTACCTCATATGTAGAATGCTACAAAGCTACCGCTTCCAAGGCAAGAAATATCAACACTAACCTAAATCTGGATGCCAGAACCGTTGTATAGTGTATTGGATCTTCAATCGAAGGTAGGTGCGGTTTGTTACAGGCGTGCTCTTTCCATTCAATAGATTTATGATTTATGGGATATATAGCATGGTATAGCCCAGGCTATTCTTTCAAACCTTACCTCAATGCTGCGAAGAGGATCAAAACTTGTGCAGGTGAACGTTATGTGTACATATATTATTTATATAACACAAGCACAACGTTGCCTCCGGATCGGTCGATATGGTATGCATAATGTTGCATATACTGTTACACTGAGCAAACCCAAACATGCTTCCAAACTGATCGGCACATGGTGACCCACATGGTGCAGCGAGTCGTGGCAGTCTACGCGGATGAAGGAGACAGAGCCGGGTCAATGAGGCATTTGGAAACGATCCCGCTCTATCCACGAAAAGAGTTGCCTTTTCTAGAATAGTGGCCACATGCAACTGTGCATTTCTGGGACTCCGTAATGTTCTTGATATGTTTGAGACTACCTACTCAGCGGCAGTGCAACTGTCTGCGAAAAGTGACTCCTAGTAGTGGTCTACCAGCGGCCATGATCATTGAGTGTTGAAGTAAATGGAAAGAAAACAAAAACATAACTACTAGGTTACTATATAAATGACCCAATGATCTTCTGCACTGGTCGAAGATTACCAGTCCGACCAGTCCCCAGAAAGATGTCCAATGAAACGCAGCGCAACATGTTCTTCTTCCGTGAGAAACAACATACCATAACACATCTCCATATCACCTCACTCCCTTTCGCCGCTTTCGATTCTTAGGAAGTTTTTTAAAGGTACCACTCTTGAGCGAACTTTCTCCAAAAGGGTCTTTCCACCATTAAAACCACACCTGGATGTCCATCGAACACGGTGGCCGTTCTGACTCGACCATACAGACTCGACCGAGGCACGGCAGCTTGTCCAATGTGAGCTTATTCGCCTCAGGAGGGACCGTAGCTAGGGACCGCATGCGTAGCTGAAACCAAACACGACTGCATGTGCTTCAGAAGCACCACGACTTTCTCCCTGCTAGTAGCTGAAGACATGGCCAAGTTCACAACGGAAGAACCATGGTCCAACAAGTAAGGGAATGTTTAAAACTACTTCCATACTTAGAGATCATGTGTTGATCTTTTTCCACAGCCCTCTGCAAAGGGCTGAACATGCGCTGCCACTGGAGTCTGCTCGTGTGTTATCTGTGCTATCCTCAGCTGTCCTCACCTCTGCCCTCAAGGCCATATCAAAAAGCCAATAAGTGGAAAACAAAACATCTGCCTTGCATCCCAAAAGTCCAAACATCTCGATCTTCAGTTTCTCCCCAAGGATCGCTGGTTAGTGTTCTCAGTTCCCAGTCTGTCTTATTGTTGGATGTCTTTGGAACATTCTGGGTCCGCCTTCCAGGTCAGGGGCGAGGTCACCTACAAAAAGAAAACCGCAGGGGCGTTGCCACCTCTGCCAGCAGCGTGTCGATGGATCGGGCGGTCTTCAGACCCAAACACTTCCGAAGCATCGGCAGGGACGTTGGTGGTTGATGGTTGTTGTTTGAGTATATATAGTCCTCTGTTTTTTGCATTGATGATGTGTTTCATGAACACAAGACGTGTCCAACATCGTGCCTCTTGTTTTTGAAAGACATGTTCAATCTTTCGTTCTACTTGAAGATGTCATGAGCTTCAGATCCAAAACATGCCACTAAAAGCACCTAAACCAGCCTGAACCCCATTCAACCCCCCATAACGACCCCAACTCACCCTCTCTCACCCGTTTTGGACCAAAAGAAGCGGGGGCCCCCGACCACATCGGCCATCACGGTCATCGGATCGGTCGTGGACCTGGGTCGTTGAGGCGAGACTGAGTAGCTTCAGCTGTTGGGAGGGTCCCTCCAGCCTGGAAGAATCCAAAAGATCTAGTTCGCAAGCCTCTGGGTCTTTTTTGGCTCCCCTCCCCGTTCTCTTTCACCTGGGGGGCATCGCTTCTGCCAGTTGCACTCTGCCGGTGTTCTGTTGGTTTGGCGAGTTTCACTGCATCCACGAGGGCTGAGCAAGGATCCATGGCGATCTGGTTTAGGCATCGTTTCCTGGACACGTAGGCGTTCGGTTACACCAAGCATCCGCGCGAACGGCCGAACGTTCCGTGCTGAATGTGGTCGGTGGTTGAGTCGTTTACGACTTGCGCCGTAAAGCAGTGCCCAGTCATTGAACACATATAAGGGGGGTGGAACACATTGTAGGTGTTATGAGTGACGCTGGGCACGCATGGCTAGGCTCTCATGTTGATGAACGTTCATCAAGCCAAGCTTTCTTATTGGCATGAAACAAGTATATAGGATAAGTACAGGCATACGGGTAACATGACCAACAGAATACCGCATGTCCATGGAAGGGTGCAGCAGCTCAATCTCCCATAGAACAAATGATCGGACGCGAGGTTGGATTTCTTAGATACGAGCACTAGGGCATGGTGCTCCGAAAGAGCTGATCTTGGATTCCCATGCAAATGTGCCTTCAGATATTGGGACACAGTAGGGTCACTCCCCATTCTGGGAAGACCATTACAGCGATTATAGCCTGTTTACTCTGATACCAATAATTACCCCGTGGTCAACTCAACAATCTCAGCCCTGTCGTACCTGGCCTTCAGGACTGTCTGAACCCTCTCGTCGTTCACCTGAAGCTTCGAAGTTGCAGTGGCCGGACGTTGCGACGGGTTGCGACGGGTGGCGACGGGGATCCTGTCAAAGGGCCACACTCGGCAAAATCCAAACCTTTCCGTCACCTCCGGACCTCGGTGATGCACTTTTCGCCTATACTCAATTAGTCATTGCCTGCCTGAACCATTCGAAGGAACAAACCCGGCTGTTCCTCACAGAATCCTCTCACAAGTCCGGCTTGGACAGTCCACACCGTTCATCCCCATCAGTTGCAGGGCACTAATAAAGGTTGTCATGCCATTCGTCCCCTGATGATCTAATGATGGAATTTACTCTGTGTATGTATCTATAATACAAGTATATGAATAGTTATTGTTTAAACATTAGAAATATAAGTACAGTCATCATAATTAAATCAGATTATATACATGGGATGACCCTGCAAGGTCAACAAACGTGTCCAGGAATAACCAATGGTCTCCTCCGCAAACACCACACCGCCATCCGGACAAACATCTTCAACCCACTTACGCGCCGGAAAGCCACAAAAATACTTCAAGACCGTCTTCCTGCACAGAATCGCAGCGGAAGAATCATTGTCCAATCGAACAACATCCAATCGATGTACGAATTGATCCCATCCAGCAAACATTCAATCTCCTACCCGTCCAAACAACCTCCTCCTTGGATCCCTGGCATCAACCTCCATCTGTTCCAACCGCTGTGGTGCCGCCGGCCGTGGATGCGGTGACCACGCCGTCGCTGGTCGCCGCAACGTGCGCCGTGCAGAGCGTAGGACCAGTAAGAGTGTCCAAATGGGATGGAGCACCTGGAGCAGCGAAGGAAAACACGATGTGCTTCCTTTTAGGACGGTATGATATGGATGGCCCCGCACATATGGATGGAACACGGAACATGGCAGTACGGCAGGAGTCAGCTCTTCAATGTTAAGATGGGCCGTTTCTGTGGGGGGGGTGTATGGTATGGTATGAATGGTATGCACTTGTCAAAGGCTAGAGTATCTATACCTGGTTCTTCAAAGTGACCTTTGCATCCTTGGGCTTGAGGTCACTTAGGCCTGAAAAAGGTCACTTAGAGACTCCAAAAAGGTCACGTTGAAGAAGCTGGTATATACAATGTTGCTTTTTAAGTTTTAATGTATATATGTCCCGGTGGAAGCCTCTGTTGATCTCCATTGCTACAGAAGCTTAACTGTTTTGGAGAGTACGTAGAAACTGCATATCCTAGCCCGACCAAACCCACGAACGTTCCATTCAAGAGTGACTTTGTGTTGCCAACATCTCGCAAATGTACAATCAAACCATCTTCCACATTAACGAGCAACATTAATTGGAACGTCTTGATTGCAATTCTCGCAAATGGAGATGCTATTTTAGCATGTATGAGGACATATCTCAAAAACACCTGGAAGTGCATCCAACCTCTCTTTTGGCTCTGTTGGTCGCATCTCAGTCATCCCAGGTCGGGTCCCCGGCCAGAAGCCAATGCAAAAAACGACCAGAATCGGTCCCTCTGAGATGGAGCTCCACCTCAATAGTGGTCTCCGAAAGTATTGAACATCTCACCATACACAGGCGCAGGGTCCCCTTTCTCATGGGGCGGCACTGTACTGCCAGCAACCAGCATCTCTCCAAAGTCACCATGGACTAGCAGCTGTGCCAGCATCCATCAATTGGGCGTCGCTTCGTCCAGCCATGTACAAATCGACCCAGTTGATATAGGAAACACACTTTCATTTCGCAAACCAGTCTGTAATTAACACGTTAAAATTGCAAAGTAGGGCTCTCTGAAATCATCTCCAAAACAGTTCACAGCAAACTGTGTCAGAGTCCCATCTTCCCAAGCACAATCGATTGGGTGGCTGTGCTAGCGTGCAGATATTTTCGGTGCACTTGCTCTTGGCATGTCCGGGTATGTCCCTTCAGGAAAAGCAAAGCTCAATATTCAATCAACAACCTGCTGATACCGGATTTGCTGTCCAGGAACTAGTTATAGAAACAACAATCGTCCCCAGAAGGGGATTTGACCAGGAAAACCAATCACCGCAAAGCCAAGCCTATTATATATGGCTGGCGGGTGATGTGCTTCAAAGTTACCTGAGGTTTGGAGGCTTCATGCATCTCAACCCCTAAAACCAGTTTAGAATGCCAGCACCCAGCATCTCCAGCCACAATCGGTTGGGCGGCAGTGCCAGTTTTTTCTTGGGCAGGTTGCCTTCATGCTAGAGTCAGCAGGGTTTTGGGAACATAAATGGTAACTAGGAGTTCTACCCATGTTCCAGCGACTTTGGCTGGAACTGAGCTCTGCCTAGCTGCACTCGCTGCACAGTGCCTCGCGTCACAGCAGGGCCCGCTGCTCCGGGGTGAGCTGCTCGAAGTCATGGCGCTTCGCATGGCTGGAGCTGAGGGTTCCCGTGGAGGTGCCCGCTTCGTGAGGCGAATGGTTGAAGCACAGGCCTTTTTGAAAGCCTTCAAGACCTGACGTGGATTCAGATGGGTGTGTGGGGAGACTGACTCAAGGCAACGACCTCCAAGGAGGAACAAGAGATCAAACAAACTACTGGTTGAAGGTCTCCTTCAAAACACAACCATATTAGAATGAAATGCCAGGGGAGAACGACACCAAGCCACCGGACCCAGTCCTCACTTCACTGTCCACTCCACCTGGCGCATCATCATATGGACGTTGTCAATTAACTTTGTTCGATCCAACTTGGTTTGTTAGATTCTACACAAACCCATTGGACCGAACATGACACTCCGCTCTAAGCAGCATCCAATTCAATCAACTCAGCCTTCCTCCCAAAGCATATCCTCCTTCCCAGCGGAAACGTTGCCCGTCCCAGCGTCGTTTCCGCAAGACCTCTTCGCTGGCCCTGCTGCGGGGCACCATGGCCACGGTCACTGCCATCCGCGCCAACTCCGCCTCCGCCTCCGCCGCCGCCGCCGGGCAGGCGGCAGAAGCCGCCACGGCCCGTCCGGAGCCCACGAGGCCACCGTGTATGGTGCGAGAGTCCCAGAGGAGGAGATCACCCGGAGAAGCCAAAAGCAGTATGGAGTCCTGGCGAGGAGAAAAGGAAAAAGGCGCTTGCTGAAGAAGGGGATTTCTCATGTTGCGACCTTCCACTGCACTAGCACACTGAGATGCAGGCCCATGGAGGCCCCAGAGTCTGACAAAAAATGAGAACCCTTAGGCCCTACCTTAGGCAAATCAGGTGGTTCCTTGGCCTTCAAACAGGGGGGAGTAACCCTGTCTGAGTTGGGAGTGGCTTTGAGATGAACCCCTCGATAATTAGTTAGACTCGGTTAGACTGCAAGTAATCACACGGCTAGCTGTCAAGGGCATGGTTCCGTTGTCGATTTCGCCAAAGACGGTTCCTGTCACTGCTTCCGTTGAAACCGGCTTCATGCTTCCGGACGCTGACCATCCAACGTAACAACGGAAGCTCAGGACAAACTAAACTGAGCACGCTGATATACGCTGATAGTCACTCAGCTGCTTTGAGATGCTTTCACAAAACCACCCTTCCTGGTGTGCGGTCATCAAAGGACACCAGTCGCCCCGATATGCCAGGTGCGGTCGCTCTTCCTGGTGCACTCGGCGAGAAGCTCGGCACTGTCTGGTCTGGTCCGTTGGGTTTCGCATCACTTGCTGTGTCGAAAGGCAACTTAACTCCGAGGAGAAGGGTGTTGTTCCTCTACCAGGTGGAGGTCATGTCTACTTTGGGGCAGGGTAAGCAACACTTGTACAGTCTCCTTGCAACAAGGAATCAATTTGGCAGCTATGTAGTAGCCATTGTATTGTTGTTCTTCCACTCGTTGCCCTTCCATACAAAACAGCAAAGACGATTCCAAGAGTGAGAACTCACAAAAAATCAATGCATTAAAGCCTGTCCATTTCGATATCCGGTGTGTGTGTGTGCTTACAAAAACCGAAACACTTCTGCCAATAAATGCATATCAGGCCCTTCTTCTGTCCGTTCGTCCCTGCTTGGCCAATCTGTCCGTTCGTCTTATGGGACTTTCGGGTCCCAGCATCTTTCAGCGCATCTTTGGCGCTGGCCGTGTGTGTCCGCGGAACCACTTGAAGGCCTCCAGTCGTCTTCGTCACGGGTAACAAAGGGACCATGCCCTGAATGGTCTCCTGGGCATCGAGATGGACCGAGGGTTATACCAGAACTCGACTGTGATCCCATATGATCCCATCAATCGATTCTGGCAAAAACACATGACACTTCAGAATGGCCCCCCCGGCATCCACTTTTGAGAACAGTCTCGAACATCCTATGTGGATCCGCCTTTTTTTGTATGTTCGATCCCCTGGTGGTTCCTGGCACTTGTCGATCCACATCTCCGCAGAAAAGGAAAACAAAAAACCCTTAAGGTGCCTGTTTGATTGCCTCGGAAGAAGATCCGCCCATAACCAAGATAGGTGCAAGTGAGGTGCCAAGTTGGGCTTGTGGAAAGGATTTTGGTCCAGGTGGAGGGGCTCTGTCTGAGGCTTCCAAGCACTTCTGATCCACCAAGGCCGCCAGAAGATCTGAGCATCCATCGAAACGATCAAATCGGAGCTTCCTCAGCAGTGCAGCACAAAAACATCTGGCTACAAATAGATGTTTCACTTGAGAAAGAAACTCGGAACAAAGTCAGAAATCGTCCAAAACTATAGATTCCCAAATGAGGCAATCCCAGTTGAGGAAAGACATACCAATCAATTACAATCAACCTTGCAAAAGCTAGAACGCATGAGGTATCTGAGCATTGTTTCAACTTGGAATTTGCAAAGACTGAGTCGACCCAATTACTGGGGGTCTGACTAAGGTCCACCCAGTCTGCCTCCGGTCCACCCGAAAGATTCGGACTCGCAATGCAGCCAAGGGTCCCCAGAACTCCTCAAAGGCCTTCTTCACTCCTGGGCAGCTTCGCACAAACCAGGCACCAGCATCCTGCACCACACTGGTGTCCAGGCCTGTTGCATGCGCGCGCGTGTGCGCTGTGCGCTTCCCACAAATCAAAAAGACAAACGCGACTCGGAACTGATGAGCACCCAAAGACAAGCCCAACAAAGCAGTTCCATGTTCAGTGAACAAACATGTTACCATGTTGTTCTAAATGCTGCTGCGTCCGCACTTCGTACGCCCCGCCACGCCCGTGCAGCGCGCTCCGGGTACGGGGACGGGCCTGTGATGGAAAGTCTCCACTTGTTCCAGGTCTCTGGATGGTCACGAGAGATGTGGTGGACAGACTCCAGATCGCTCCACAACAAGTCCTTTCCTCGGAGAAGGAACGCTTGTCGCTCGTGGTGATGGACCCTTTGGAACTGCGAAGAGTAGTTAGAAGAAAACGCAGGATGCACCCTGGGATCCAGCACAAAAGATTCAAGTGGGAATATAATGGAATGATTAGATTCCTGTTCCTCATTCTTCAATTGGGAAGTAGATTTATGAATTGACAAAACAACAAGTCGCAGTAGACTGGCCCCAGCAAGTAAGATGCAAGCCTTTACTCTCCATCCTCCAAACCATTTGCAAAGAAGTCAAGCAAATGACCAGCTCAGCGACTGCCAGAGTTGCAAACGTTTTGAGACCAGTGCTGGCTTCACTCCCGTTCTTGAAAAAAAATAGGCCCAGCGTCCACGCTGCACCTCCTCCAAAGTCAAGGCCCCGGCCAGGACGACGTATCCTGGATGGGAGGGCTGGATTCCTGGATGGATGGCTTGTTCTCAACTGCAGTTTGAGTGAACATGTTCCATTCGCCCTTTTGGCTCATTTTCAAGGGGAGATGCGATGGAAGCTGATGCTTTGATCGATTGGATCTGTCACTTAGACAAGAATATTATCCATGAGTGTGCTGCAGCCCCGCTCCTAAACACTTGGTCATGGGTGCAACAAGCATGGAAGGACATGGGTCAAAACAAACGAAACAACAGCTTCCTATCGTTATCAAACCCGCTTGCATTCTCAGCATCAGCAAGCTCCCCCATCTCCTTCCTCTTCGAGATGTCGACGCCAAAGCTGCACCTCCGCCAAAGCAAAGCGGTAGGAAGCCGTCTCGACCGGACCGGCATCACCTGAGCCAGCGGGCAATGTTTGAAGTAGCCTGGCCTGCTATAGCAGGCCAAACCTGAGGTGTCCTAATGCAAAAAGGAATGATTTTCCACGGGGCCAGTAGGGCACGGCTACGTCTTTGGAAGCATCTATCTGCAAGTCCTCAAACATGTGTGTATGCAGCATATAACAACCCTGGTGCCAGCCCATGTCTTACACCCAGCCCAGCAACTACCTATAAAGCTAGAAGCCGAAACCATTTGCCGTGGATGTGGAAGTCTTGTTCTATGTAAGTCAACACCCAGGCTAATTGACCAATGGTCCTGTGTGCTTGCGTTGTGAGGCTTCAACATTGTGAATGGAATAGAGTTGCTTTGTCATCTTGAGTCATCTTGTGTTTTTTCCCGGCCACCTGCATGACCGAACGTACATAGAAACAAACACAACGGTGCACCGGTGCACCACTACAGTCCTGGATAATGAAAGACCTACGACTCTATGACAATACTACTGTATATTTAAATAAGCCGGAGTGCCGCAATTTCAAATCGACTCCTTGCTGACATTTTACGGACATCCATGACATTCCCCTTTAAACTATCCCAAAACGGCAGCTAGCTGCTTGGAGGATCTGCAAACCTGCTGCATGGACTTGGGGATTTGTCCTGACAGAGCCTTCCACAAAGCCTGGTTTCCACACCCTGGAAACACCTGACCCAATGGATTCAGTGGATACATGACACCCTTCCGATCGAATCGGCTGCTCTTTTCGTGGATCCTCCCCATGGTCTCCCCATGGTCTCCTCATGGTCCCAACTGATTGCAGCACACGGACCAAGCGGGCGAACACGCACCACCGGGTCAAGATCCTTACAGGGAGAGGCTCGGGATGAGCTTCGCTCACCGGATGGACGTGCTAGCGACCAAATTCACAGCGGTGGGTCTGGGACTCAAAGAGTTGATCTTGGAGGATGCCGTGCCAAAGAATTCTGGAACGACCAGGACCCCGCCAGTGGGATTGCAACATAGTTATTCAACATATAGTCTTATACCAGGACCCGCCTGTTATTGGGAGTCTATTTAGGGCACCCCTTAGTTAGCTGTGATTTGGGGTGTCCATTCACCACCCTGGAGCTGGGGGGTCCTAGTTGAAGGTGGTTGGTGTCAGGCTCCAGGGTTGGATCAGTCACAGTCCCAGGTCAGTTCTCAGTATCTGCCCAGCTTCAAGCGCGCTCGAGGGAGTAGATGCACCCATTGCGGCAAAGAGGCCACTGTGACAAGGCCCCATCAATCAAGAGGCTAACTTGATGTTTTGATTGATGGGCATGTGGAAGGTTCTGAAGCTGCATGGGTGGGTTTTGTTCCACTGGATTGTTTGGAAGGTTCTGAAAAAAATCATGTCATTTATGCTCTGGGGGTGCTCGGTCGTGATTTCCTGCCAGGAAGATGTGTTTTGGGGGAAATTCCACACGAGGGTTCCAACGGTTTTGAGATTAAAAAGAAACGAAAGCTACCACGAAACAAAAGGTTACCTATGGTTCTCGGATCCATAGTGATTGCATAGCTATAAAGACTATATAGAGGCATGTACAGCACCCACATCCGCTCTTCGTACGCAGGTCAAGACCTCAGTTTGAGCAGCTCCCAGAACGTCTCTGGCTCATTTGTCGGATACGATTATCTGCTTCGATGGACCAAAAATACATTTTACATTATCTAGAAATCATTCAAACATCCAAAACAATATTATCTGACTGACCAGGAGACAAATGCGGTACTTCTTGGCATCCAAAAACCTCATCAACCGGTGTTTGTGACTTTGGACTTTTCTTGGCAGTGACTTCTGAGGCTGACACACTTGCATCCGTTCAAAACCCTTGAACCATCCTGAACCACCAAAGAAAAAAAAACAGATTCATTGAAATTGCATGAAATGGCTGTTCAAATGGTTCATTCTTAAACAAACAGTCTTTAGATGTACAAGTATATTAAGAAGCCACCTCTTCCGCAAGAACCTTCTGCTTCCGACACGACATCCAATACGACCGACCGCACCTGCACCAGAAGCTCCAAAATCACCAGCACCACGGCTACCCGCCAAAGCCTGGAAGGCTGCAGTGCCGTCAGGTGACTGGTGTGACGATTATATTCGAACTCACATGTCTGTGACCGTTGGAATCATTTCTCAAGGCACGGTGCCCTAAATGTGTTGTGACAACCTGTAAATGTGATTGACTAAAAAGGGGGACCTGTCAAATCTCTTTTGTGGCCAAGCTGCATGAGGATATGCCACCGTTTCTTGGTTGAGTCTGTTGGACTTGACTTGATCATTCTCAAACGTGGTGCTTTCGGATGAGCAAGTTGGTCATCCTGAAGCTGCGAAATCGTCCTACATGCTCGGAAGATAGATGAACATATACCCCCAGTCGGGGTGGTTAATGGACACTCCTTCACAAACACCAGGGGCTATAAATAGAAACCCCGACAGGAGGGTCCTGGTAGTGGGCTTTTTGTTTTCACTTTCATGATCTCAGTCATTGTTTCACCCACGCCAGTGAGCAGGGGCAAGTTCCGCGTCACCCTGTTCTCACCCGGGCGTCCCGGGCTCGGCATGATGCCGGCGAGCCAACAAAGGGATGACCTGGCCGATTGGACAAAAATCGGCCCGGCTCCTCACCAACCGAAGACCTGGTTCACCACTTTCAACGACGACGAAACGATCAAGCATGCGAACAAAACGGAGATCAAAGCATTCCTCGTCATACTCTGGTGATTCCTCGTGATGTAAAAGCATTCCTTTGGGCGATTATTGTGTAGGCTACCGGCGAGACCGAACGGCTATCTTGTAGACGGGTGCTTTGCAGGATGAAAACCACACCTAGTCCATGAGCTTTTGCCATGGATCTGCCACCGAGATATTGTCATTCAAAGGCAGCTTTGATGGATCACAGTATTCTGCTCTTTATATCTGCCACAAGGACTCATAATATAGAACTATACCAACCCAAAGTAAAGTTGCTCCTTCACAATTGTCGAGCATTCTGCTTTTGGTCGGTCTCAGAAGGCATCGTGTTGCTGTGATCATCGGCCATGAAGGTCGAAACCAAGCTGCTTCCGCTGGTTGCATCATCGGCCATGACTGCTTTTCGTGGGACAAAAGGTAAAGGATTGCACCATATTGCAACAAATCACTGCGCCAGTACTGCAACACCACTACGCCAGTAGCTGCAACTTCTGAGTGCCCTGAAAACGATCTTCGATTGCAGCCCCGAGTCCCGAGTCCCGTCACCGAGGCGTCCTTCCCTCGGTCACCCGCTTTTGGACGCCCGACACATCCTACGAAGTGACGCCATAAGTAAGCTGGGCAGGCCATGTCCACGTGGAGCTTCAAGTTCAGTGTGAAGCTGTGCATCAAATGCTGAGGCCTCTGTTTTTAAGGCTCGCAGTGGAAGGACACCCATGAAGCTTTGTTGCTTCTCGGGTTTATAATTAAGCAAACACTTCAAATCCCTGACAAACAAACATCCACACATGTTGCTATTGACCCACCATGGTCTGCCGTCTATCTGAGTCTATCTATTCGCAGGATCAAAACCTCCCGTCTTTGCAACTTGTGCAATCCCTTCTGGAGCCCAACAAACCACGACAGGGTCGACTACTGCTCCCACCAAGAAAACCTGTGGCCTTTGCAGTGGTAGGGGGTTACCATTCCAAAACGCATCAGGATATTACAATTCCAATAACTCGCATAGGAAAAATAACACATGGACTGTCAGGCACATCATGATACGGCCAAAAGCAAGTGTGCAGCCTCTAGAGCATGGAGAAAACACAGACACAACATCCCAAATTATGGATTTCTCATCCTTTCTTTGCTGGTCAGCTGTTCTCTCCCTGCGGACCCGCACCGCTTGAAGCAGCGCCAGGTGCGATATCGCCCCCAGGCGGTCCAAACCAAAACGACCTTGAAACCGTGTGGAAACGACGGATCCAGCGACGACTGATGCAGTTTTTGGTTCTATGTCCATTGGTCGATAGAGGATGAGGATGAGGGTCATGACTGAAGATGATGCTGACTTCTTGAAGCTTGTTATTGCTATTAAATGAATGTTATCAATATTCCCTGACACAAAACACACGATCACAGAAAGACACTGACACGCATCAACCCTTGGAACTTGGAAAGCTCCATTCATTTTTTCCGGAACCTGGTGGTTTGCACTGATGTGCCCTTCTATTTCGCAAGAATCACCACAATTTACTGCTGTACATTTTCCGTCGGGCATGGTGAGTTTACGTTCAGATCCGCCTGCGCCACCAAGCAAACCAGTGCCATGAGAGCCGGGATGAGGAAACTGCAGAGCGCCGGAGGTGCCGGAGGTGCTCACAGTGGTCCAAGAGATCTGGTGGTGAAAGCTGTCCTACTTCAAAAGGACTTCTCTCATGAAGGGTATGGACCTCCAGGATGAACAATGGATGGATTTCAAGTCTGATGTGAACAACTGCTGTAGATGAGTGGGTGAATCTATTGCTGGGGGATCTCGTCCGTGGCCCGATGCCCAAAACTTAAACTCATGAGTGCCAGGAGCGCCTCCAGACACCAAGCCCAGCACAAGCTGGACCACCAGCTGGACCATATCTTTGGACTGGAGAAATGGAGAAGTGAAAAATCAAGCCACCAAGCCCCAAAAGCCTCTGAAGAACTCCGAAACGGAGCCAGCTGATCGCTATACATGGTGCAATTTTCAGGGCCCTGGACCGTCACCGACGCCATCCGATCGCATCAGCGTGAGCTTCGAAGGACGAACACGACCTGCAGTCGACTAGACATACGACTGCAGAATCAACAAAGTCCCCAAACGAAGTCCCCAAATAGGTCTTCAGCTGTCTTACCATTTCAATCCATTTCATCCATTTGCTCATGGAAATAGCTGGAATCCCACTGCCTTTAAACTTTAAACTCGATCACGCTCGATCAGTATGGCTCAGTCTGAGCTGCATCACCTCCGTCTGAGATGGTCTTCACACCAAACCCCAATGATCGAATGACCGCGGCCCCGGACAAGATGACGGCATCCTCGACGCGTAGCAGGACCACCCTGGCACAATTTGGAGAGACTCGCGCGGGGTTGCGGGCGGTCATGGCACCAGACCGAGCAGTTGACCTGGACGGGGTGCTGTCGGGGTCACGACCCATCCCAACATAAAGGAGCCTACGATCAGATTGTAGCAGCGAGTTTCTTGGAAGGTGGGTAGAGAAGGTATGGGGAGGTGAGGCTTTCTTGGGTTCAGACATGCAGCAAGCCCCCATGGTCCGTGCCTAAAATAGGACCATGGTCTATGCCATGGAGCACAAAATTGCAAGGTTCGTTGGATTGGACTGATTACACTCCCGAAAACTAACATGGACTCTGAGAATGGCACCCTCAAAGCTGTTTTCCTTTACAAACCAGTTCTTTGTGAACGGAGAATTTAGGCTCTTAAACTCTGTGACCCCAAGTCACTGTCCCAAAGGTTGTAGTAGAAGCTTAGGCACACTTTTAGCTCAAACTCGAACAAACGGATTGAACAAACGGCTGCAGTGAAACATGCATCTATACAAGCTATGTCATGTACATGTAACTGGTGCTACATCTGATCACGCCTCCCGAGTTTAACATCTCCCAGAAGTTAAGCGAGTCAGGATTAGCACTTCGGTGAATTAGCTCGTAGCCCTTCAGTACATCTTGGTCTTGAAGAAGTACCTACTCTAGCTCAAGCCGTTCACGCTTTCAAAGTCAGCTCATGCTCACCTTCCAAGTAGTGGAAGTTCATGCCTTTCATGGCTGTAGTCATTTTCTCTTCGGTGACAGCTTTCGTTAGCACATCGGCCAACATTCGGTCGGTGCCTTCTTTCTTGAGACGAAACTCTTTCTTTGCTGTGCGCTCTTGTACCCAATGGTATTGAGTGTCAACATGTTTAGCTCGTCCCAAACCTCGACGGTTTCCCATGGCGATGCCAGCGGAAGCGTCCATTGTCACCTCTTTGCTGGGAAACAATCCCCAGTCTCTTGCTGTTGATGCGATTCCAAGCATTTGACATGCTCCAGAAACAAGTCCGTAGTACTCGGATTCGCCACTGCTCAGGGAGACAACTCCTTGGCCTTTGCTGTATGTTGTGAGACAGCATGTGTTGGCCATGAGCACGCCTCCTGACACACTCTTTCGTGTCCTTATGCAACCTGCATGGTCGGCGTCTGACCACATGTTGAAGGGGTTGCAGGTGCTTTGGTTTGGAAACAACTGTGCAACTCTTGGTCGATACCTGACATATCGAGCCAATCGTTTCAGCATATTCCAGTGCCTCGATGTTGGGTTCTGTAGACCTTGTGCCAATGAGCGCGTTGCAGTTTGCAGATCAGGTCGATCCTGTGCCAAATACGCGGCTCTCATAGCAATAGATCTATACATCGTTGCATCTTCGGCACTCAGCGGAACTTCTTCGTGTTGGAGTTCCTCTTGACTTGGCTTGGCCAAAGGGGTCTTGACCTTGCCTGGTTGACCAGTGCCTAACCACTTGATGATCAACTCTGCATGTCTTGGATCTGGTTCCCACCAAATGCCTTCATTTGACCAGGTGATGATGCGATTCAGCACTCTGATCTGTTGGCTTGCCTTTGGTGAACCTGGTGGACCGAGAATGCCTCGTTCCACCACTTGCCATTCTTTGGCTGCTGAAGTGTGAAACCATTTGATGTCATCAAAGCTTCCAACAGTCGTGAAATCGTCTCCATGCACTTCTGTTCGAAGTTCTCTGGATGCATGGTAGTAGATACATGGGTTGGACTTGCCTTGAACAAATCCTAGCTTCTTCATGAACTCTGCAATGGTCAGCTCCCAATTCATGGGTGCGTCTCTGGTGCCGTATAGGCTTCTGACCAATCTTCCTACCACATCTCCATCTTCAGGTCTCTTGCCTTCTGATGGAATTTCAACATAGAGTTCTCTTGTTGCTTTGGAATAGAAATGAGCTCTCTTCACATCTAAAAATCCTAGGAAAGATTGTTTTGCTTTTCTTCTTTCGCCTTTCTCCAATGGAAGGCTGTCGCTGACTGCGATGGTTAGCAGTAGCTTCAAAGCTGCAAGGCTCGGCATAGCTGCGAAAAATTCGTCAAAACCTGAGCCTCTTTTGATCTCTTGCGCTACCAATCGACTTCTGTAGAGAGGATTGGTTTCATCTTGCTTGTTCACATCCACCCATCGAGTTCCAATGATTTTGGTTCCTTTTGGAACTTTGCTTCTTGGGATCTTTTCCCAAACTCCCATTGATTCGACAATGTCGATTTCATCTTTTCTGGCTTTCTCTACCTTCTCAGGTAGAAGCTCTTTTCCACTGATGTCATCGTAGTACCACCAGTCTCTTGCCTCTTCTGCCATTTCTTCTGGCAGTGGGATCTTCTCTTCACACACTGGTTTCTCTGGGTCGATGCTAGATAGCACTCTCTCTCTGTCTTCTAGGATTAGGCTTTCTAGAGCCATCTCAATGCTCTGGATGTCTCTTGTTCTCTCGGCTTCATCTTCATGTTCGCCTTCTGCCTTTCTCTTCTTGTCTCTATCTACTCTGGCTTTTGCTGTGGGTGATCCTGCTGGTTCATGTTGTTCTTCGTGTTCTCTCTTTTCTCCATGTGGTTCAGGTTCGCGTGGTCTGCGAATACCTGATGCTGAAGCTGATGCTGTGCCTGGTGTTGGTGGTGCTGCTTCTGGTTCGTACCAAAGTTCTGTCACAATGTCCATCTTGTGTGGTAATGCTCCATTGAGTATCTCTGGTGGAAGGTCTGTTGTCATGACTCCACTCTCAATGATTGCATTGTTTGCATGGTTTCTTGTGACTCGGTGCCAGACGGCGGACCAATCAGGTCCTCCTGGCATGGTGGTTTGAAAACAGTAAGCTTCGACGTCAAGTCGTGCGAACACTCGACACGAATCGGGAACTCCCGATGGTCTTTTGCTTTCGTATCCATGAAGGATTTGAGGTCTCTTGCCACTGACGGGTTGTGGCATGCCAGTGATTGCCTCTCCAACTCGGCTTTCATGTCTTGCTACTCTTGGGTTCTCTTCTTCTTCTCCTCTGATGCTCTCTTCAAGTCTGTCTCGACACCTGTTGGTGTGATGGATGCCTGTAGATCTCTTGCCAATCTGTGTGGCATCACAAGCTGGGCAACCTGCTGTATACCCAAACTTTTCCAGGTCTTTCTTGGTGATGTAAAGCCTTCTCAGCTTTCTTTTCTTGTCATCAATTGCCGGTGGTTGAACTAAAGCTTCACCACTTGGACTGGCAATGACTGGTTCCCTTGGGGCTGCAATCGCTGGTTCTTCGCGAATTGCTTGAGGATCCCAGGGAATTCCAGTGATCGATTTCAGCAACTCTGAATCATATCGATCTTCTTCTGGCTTTCTTCGAATGGATTGCACTGTGAAAACGCCTGTGGAATTTCCTACTATCTTCTCTGTGGTGGTGTCTTTCACTCCTAGAAAAATTCCTTTGGTCCATTGGGCCTCGAACTTGTGGCCTCTCTTGAGGTATTCGATGGCCTCGCCAAATGGTGGAATTGCTACTTTCCATTCACGTCCACGAAGTCGTGAATACGGAGTCTTTCCGTCTTGAAGTTCGGTTGATCGGAAAAACAGATTGTAGACTGTGGATGCGTGTTCAACTAACCAAGTCAAAACAGGGGAATCGTCAGGAAGTTTCTCACCATAGTTTGACTCGATCGCGGCTCGAAGAGTCCTGGCTTGTCCTTCCAAGGTTTGAACTGCTCGTTCAATCTCTCCCTTGGATTCTTTGACTCCTTTCGGGCTCTTCTCGATGATCAGGGTTCCTTCAAACCCATTCTTTACTGCCTCAACAACAGAGGTGAGGGCAGGTTCAGGATCATGTCGAATGATCAGTTTGGAGTATCCTAGTTTCTTGATGTCGTTCAAAAGTACTTTGGATCCATATGGACCTTTTGTCACACCTTTGTAGGGCAACACATGAGCAAAAAGATGCTTCGTCCATCGATCTCTGACAACAAGAATTGGTGCATGGGTCTTCTCGTCCAAAACTACATCATCAGTTCGTGAATTCATGAAACAGTAGTCTACAGTCACTACTGGGGTTGTCTCATCGGTGTGGTCTATCTTCCTGTGGGGGTTTGCCTTGGCTTTTCCCCTTACACAGGCTTCACACCAAGACCTAAAAGGGAAGTGTGAAACAACATGCTCTTCAAACTCTTTTCGCGTCGGGCGAATGGGAGAATTGATTCGGAGCTCAGGCGGCACTTCGTCGCCTTGCTCGGCCTCTTCGGCCTGCTCCACCGGGCTTACCCATTGCGGTGCCGGACGAAAGGGTGGAATGCCAGCGGCACAGAACAGACGCCGTTGCTGAACGAGATCGGAATCTTAGTTCCGTCTCGGGAGATCTGTCCACCAGATCCGTGCATCTGAATGCACCAGCCCTTGCTCATAAGGGCCCCCGCGGAGAGCAGCGGTTTTGCAACCGCCATCACCCGGAAACAGCAACGTCCATTGAGGGAGTTCTGGCCGATGCCGATGGTCACCATGGCATCGATCTTGCCAAGGTCCTTGACCACTTCGCCTGAGGCAGTCTTGTAGACTTTGCAGGTGCCTTCAGGCTGGATAGGCTTGTAGCCCAATGCGGTGGCCAGTTCAACAGGGATGCAGGAGGTCGCGGCTCCTGAATCCAAGGTCACCTGATGAGCCATTGGCGTCTCCATGGATGCCAGCTCCAAACTCCTGAGAGCTAGTGGATCCTCCTCGCCCTCATCTGGCTCACTCGAAGGTGTGGGATATCGTTTTCCCTTTCCCTTCTTGGCCTCACGGGCAGCATCCTGAGTGGCCACGTTGACAGCTCGAGTCAACTGCACTTTCTTCTGCTTGCCCTTTCCTTGGCCCTTCTCGGAGGCAACCGGAGCCGAAGCGGCTCGGCTTTTGCCCGGGGATCGTGACCGGGACTTCAGCCGAAGCGTCTGCCTTGGCGCTTCGCTGGATTCCTCTGGCTTGGATCCTGGTCCACGGAATCGCTCTAGGTGCTCTTCAGTCGAGCTCTTGAACCAGGCCA